ATGGGAGGCGAAGTGGGCAAACAAAAAGAGGGGTAGACAACCCACGGAATGGGTCAAGGTTGTAGAGGACGTATGGAAGGGGCTAGACATCGACGAAGAACAGAATCTAAGGAATGAAACCAAGGATAAGCCGGGTCTAGAAGTGCACGGAATGTTGAAGGAAGGAATAGGGTTCAAGGACTACCTACATGGACCAATGGATGCAGGAACAAAGCTTAAGGTCAAATTCAGGACCGGGGACATAGGCCTTCGAGAACGTCGACGAAGACATAGGACGGTAGACGAGGAAGACGACGAGTTCAAATGTGATTGCGGCTTCGAATGCGAAGACCGTGTTCATGTAGTCGCGGAATGTCCGTTGTACAAGAAGGAGAGGGAAGTGTACGTGACTGAGCTGGGAAAAATAGATGGAACGTACAGGGAGATGTTTGAGGCATGGAATAGAGAGGAAAGGACGGTAGCCGTACTGGGGCATAGGAGGTGGGTTGAAAGGCTGGAAGGGATATCGTAAATAATGTCTTCCATCACCAATCGTTCAATCAATGGCAAGTTGTTGATCAGCTATGTTTTCATGTTCCACAGCAGCAATAGCATATATACGAAGTATAGAGTTATTAAATTCTGAGCGCGCAATTCTTTTATGAATAGTACTATGTTCGACCACTGCTGTTATATTTTTTAGGAGACAGACGTACGTACGTATGTACGTGTTGTCCTGTTGACTTTTTCAGGGAGATGCCGCATATGTATATAGTATATCATCGCCTACTCTATCTCTCTCTCTCTCTCTTTTCTCAGTCTTTGCTTTGCCCCCCGACCGTGGACGTGCGTGTTTCTACGCAACAATATATAATTATATATCAGAGAGAGGAGGCCCGTGTCTATGTTGCTTGCGGCAATACATCATGATCAGAGGATAAGGATGGCGCTCGCACTTAAGAACTTGGCAGTTAAGAATAGCGGCCTCGAAAAAAAACAAAATCAAAGAAATTAACCACATAATAATAACAACATGTGCGTGCTCAGGCCCGACGTGGTGTTAAGAACAACAACGAACCCGCCTTCCTTTGTGGTGTAAGAATAGAGGTCCCAAAAAACGCGACAGCTGCAAGATAATATGCACTCACGAAGGGGTGAGGGGCTACTCGCGGGGTGACCGGTGGGCAGTTAGTTGCAGAACAGCGGCGAGGAGGAAGTTCCTTTGAAAATAGTACTGGTTGTGCG